GTAATGAAACAGGTTCAGTTGCTCAGTGACATCATCATCATAACTATGTATCACCATGGATACCTCAAACAGTCCCTCCACGCCGGAGGTGTTAGGATGTACCTTATCAGTCCTAACATAGAGAGAGTCAGTATACCACTCTCCCAGTATCACTGCTGGGTGCAGCTGATAGTCTTCCTTCTCTGGCCAGAAGTTATTCTTATCATCAGCGTCTCCTAATACCACAATCACTGAGGCATTGGTCTCCCAAATCATCCTGTGATGAATGTATACAATATACATGTACATGTAAGATTGTGTGTCAAACAGACAGTGAGGGATAAACATACGATTAATGTTTATTACATGTACTGCATTTAAGTGTGTTTGTTTGTGTTTGTTGTTTACCTCCAAAATGTTGGTATTGTGTTTTCCATTGGCCATTGAGCTATGATGTAAGACTTTGGATATAATGGTGAACCAACAAAACTGAGGGAGAGCAGGAAAGAAGAGAATAATGACATCATTATACAAAATGTACATGTATACATGTAGTGTAGATATTAATCATTATATTCTATTGCTTTACTTTGCGTTGATGTAATCAGACCCAAGGTCCTCCATTACTCTTTGCAGTTTCACTCTCATGTGGCTTGGAGCCAAGGGTCCAGCTGGTCTGTTCTTCGTTTCATTGCAAGTTAGTTCAGCCATGAAGTTGTTGTATTCTATCATCTTCATGAACTCCTTCAGCTCATTGTATCTTTTGTGAATGAACCCACCCATCTTTAGTACACCAGATCTCTGCTTTAAACTGATCACCTATTCACAAGTTATTTATAGGTACACAAAGTTATTTATAGTAGCAACAATCACAATTACGGTATTTATAGTAACGTGGCTATATTTACATATTCCTTACCCATTGTTCTTTTATGGGTCTTGATCGAAAACCATCAGAAGTTCCCTGCAAAAATAAATCAAAAATATTAATCTACAGTGTACATCTATAATGTATGTATATTTAATATTTTAAATTACACGTACAGTGTATGTATGTATTTCTGCTTATGGAAAGTGATAAAACTTTCTTGTCATCTTCCTCTCCCTCGGAGTCACTTCCCTCCAGGAACACGTTACCGTCTGCCCCAATGTTAACATAGGAGTGCTCACTCTCCTCCTCCTCCTCTGATATTAAACTCATTGACTGGGAGGGGCTTACAGATGGGTGGCGTCTAGTGGTTGGAGGGCGTGGTCTGTCCTTAGTAGCAGAAGTCAGGATGGGTTGGTGTGGGATAGTGTCGTATAAAGGTTCTTTCTCCGGCTTCTCTTCGTTTGAAGTTTGACGAGGGAATTTTGATTTGTCGGAAGTATTTTCTACCAAAGACCTTTCTTTTTCTGGTATTTTGTCGTAAACCGGTTCTTTCTTCTTGTAGTCAAACGTCGTCAAAGGTTCTTTATATGATCTCTTAACTATTTTATAATGAGGCTCTCCCTCTTCATCTTTGTCCCCTGCACTGGTGGGTGTGGTCAATGGTTTATTACTAGTTATTATTTTATAATGAGGCTCGTCTTTGTCCTTTGAACTGGTAGGTGTGGCCAATGGTTTATTACTAGTTATTACTTTATAATGAGGCTCATCTTTGTCTCTTGCAGTGGTGGGTGTGGTCAATGGTTTATTGCTAGTTATTATTTTATAATGAGTACTGGTCTCTTGGCTAATACTTGTACTGGTACTAGTGTCGTTGGTTTTTGAGTCTTCGTCTGAGACCGACAGGTTTGATAATTGAGTTGAGAGAGTGTTTAACTTATCTGGTACAATTTGAGGCTCAGACTCCTCCCACTCATCCTCCTCCTCCTCTTTTTGCTGTGACGGTATCACTTCGATTCTTTTCTTAATTATTTTCTTGGTCTCTTTACTAGTTGAC